AGGGGAGGAAGGAAGGGGAAAAGGAAGAGAAAAAAGAAAACAAAAAAAAAAAGAAGATGAACTGGGTATCAGTTAAACTGCTGGTTAGTAACGCTACAGAGTGAACTAACAGGAATAGAGGAAGGGGTCAAGAGAGTAAGATGAAGACTGAAAATAAACCAGGGGAGTGCCAGAAACTTCTCTAGAGCGGCATTAAAAGGGAACTACAAAAATTTCTCGCAAGGGCAGCCCTGAAGCCGAAGGAAGAAGACCTCAGACTGGGGGCAGCGATTGCGCAGTAAAAGAAGTAAGGGTGTGACCATAAGGTCTGCAGGCGGCTTCCAGATGGATGCGGTAGGAAGAGTTTTGTCGCTTCGTTATAGAGAGGAGTAAATAAAGCTAGAAAAGATGACGTATGTGTGAGTAGGATGGTTCCAAAGAGTGGCCAGTGTTCAAAAGATGTGGTGCTGTGTTCAAACAGGAGATCACAGAATGTTGACCCTGGCAGCCAGCCTCTTGCTCGAGGGGATGCGGCCCTGTATATTGAGCCAACGTTCGGGGACCTGGAAAGCGCAAGGAGAGAAGCTGAACCAAAGGGTGAAAACATGCATTTTGTGATCCAATGGTCAGGTGGGGGACAAGTGGTAGTCAGCTGATTTTACGAAGCAAAGAAAGGCTCGGCCTGTCCTGCGCGCTCAACTCAATAGATAACTTAGGTGAGTAATATTCTTGTGAGTCTATATCTCAGTTACATGGGGAAAAGGTGTTCTTTGCGAGAAGCTGTTTTTGGAACACAAAGGGCAGGGAGATATCTTAACCTTCCTTTCAGGTCACAGGGCACAAGTAAAATTCAACAGTTGCTACCCCACTCTATAATGGAAGTTCCCCTCCCATGCCACTTTTCCAGTTTTTGATTGTGTGTTTGCCTCAGGTGAACACTGTTAAACAGTGCCTATAATTGTGTATTTGCTCATTGTTAGTTTTCCCAAACTCTCAGCTAGAACAGGGCTTTTTTCATCCCTGCTGTAACTCTATTAATGAAAACAGTGCCTGGCGATACAGTGCCATAGTTAACATTGTTGGCTGCGTGGGCCTGCCACTTTTTTGAGGGGTTGTGAATAGGCTAGGA